ATCGTCCAGTACAGAAGAACAGACACCAGCATCGTCCAGTACAGAAGCTATCATGTTACAAATGTAAGTTATAAATTACTGTTCCCATCAAGCACAAAGTATACCCAGCAAATAAGAACCGTATATGTGTCAGTAATATAACATCGATATGTAATGTCAGCTCAACCATATTTACACAGTTACATAACAAACCACATAAATGTGCTGACATTACATATTGTTGAGGATAGAAACCGAATCCGTTGCGAGAGAGGAATTGTTGGGCGCCGTATCTTTGCCAGCGGCCCTGATCGCGAAGTGAGGCGAAAAGAAAGGGCCATTACCGAAATATCGCACACGGCCCTGCCATGGAGCGTCGCCCAATAATCCTTCGCTCCCGTTCAATTTGTGCGAACTCATGCGAGTCATGCGCACGCGTTTACGCGCTTTCGTGCAATAGATCGATCACGGATCGATATGATTCGTCCTCCCTGTAACGCACCCGGCTCCCCCGCTGAGCCACCCTCATGCCGGAACACGATCATCCGCCGGCAGGCAGAATAGAAATCGCTCTCGCGCCGTACAGTCTAAATCCGTTCGCCGCGATCCGCATCCTCGATCGATTGCCGCGCGAAACGGAGGTCATACGCTCCACCAGCCGTCTTCAACGGGGAAGTGGACGACCTCAGTGAGCGAGAACGCGCTTCTCCTCACCGACTCGGTGCACGAAACCTTAATTTCTGAGCGGGACTCGTCGCTCTCGGAGCCGTCCCCCAGCGTAACGTTAAAGCGTCGCACGTGATACGCCGCTTAGTGAGATCACGCATAGCTCACAATCTTTGTAAAGACCTACTGTGCTTATTTGTGCTGTAATTAAAGACGTTAGCAAAGAAACAGCGGTCTTGATTTGAAAACTCCTCGCCGATCAGCGATACGCTTCGCGCCCTTGTCAGGGCGGAATCCGGCAAACATTCGTGTCCCAAGGCTCCCCTGGCCGAGCACGAAACATTCTGGTCCTTCGAGCCGGATCGAAGCCCTTCATTCGGCTACGAGGAATCATTTCTAAGTCATGGAGACGCTGTTAGAAGGTCAGTCTATGCGGTTCCGAGTCATCGAACGCGCATTAGACAACTTCAAAAAGCTGGGCAGAAAGAATCTGACCGCAGCGAAGATCCGCAATCGAATCCAGACGTTGAAGGAGGACTGGGAAGAGGCGAAGGGTGGACATCGTGCTCTCCTGGCTGCTGTCCCCGTCGCAGAGCGCCCCGGTTACGAGTACTTCCAGAGCCTGAGGTTCGAAGCCACCCAGGAGATGTATCAAACCGCATCCGATCACATGGCCGAGTGCCTTGAAGAACTGGAGCCGTACGTACCCCCGAATCAATCGTTCAGTTTCGGACAGCAGTCCCCGGGATTTTCGTCCGCCTATTCGATCTCGCATTTACCGCCGATGAAACTTCCTCCGTTCGACGGGAAGTATGAGGAATGGGAGAGTTTCCGCGATCGATTCACGTCTCTTATTCTAAATAATAAAGATTTGTCGAATTTTACGCGAATGCATTACTTAATTTCATGTCTAACAGACCGCGCTCTTGATTGCGTAAAAGACATACGAGTCACCGCCGATAATTTCGATATCGCGTGGGACACTCTAAACACGCGCTTTGAGAACAAACGCCGCCTGATAAACGTGCATATGACTGCGTTGCTCAATTTGCCCGCTGTCGCAAAAGAATCCGCGATCGAGCTACAGTCCCTCTCTGACCGCATTCACACCGCCGTCGCGGCTCTTAACAAATTAAATCGTACTCCTGAGGAGCTTTGGAGCGACATGTTAGTGAGTCTCGGGACGCAGAAACTCGACGCGGTTACAAAAAAGGCATGGAATCTCAAGTATAGCGAGGACCGGAATCCTCCCTCTTACGAAGCGTTTAATAAATTTCTAGAGAATCGAATTCGCGCTCTAGAAGAATGGAAACTCTCCCCTTCGCCCTCCGATAAAACGAAAATTGCAAATCCGCATAAAGTCAGTAGCGCGAACGTATGCGCGAAGGCCGTATCGCAGTGTTCGCTCTGCAAAGCTAAACATGCGTTCAGCGCCTGTCCGCAATTCGCGGGGAAGAGTCCGAGTCAACGACGTGAAATCGTTCAACGGGAACGACGTTGCTTTAATTGCCTGAGCCAACATCACGCCGTCAAGGCATGCTCGAGCAAATTCCTCTGCCGCATGTGTCAAAACCCACATCATACGATGCTTCATGTTGACTCCGACTCTCCCCCGAAAACCGAGGCAATAACTCCGGCGAACGACCCACCGAGGGCCGTCGACGCAACAACAAGCGAAGTAAACTCACTGTTAGCGTCTTCACAGACTCCTTCGCGTTCTTATGTTTTGCTCGCAACGGCTTGGGTCACCGTAAGCTCGCCGCTCGGTAGATCTGTTATTGTTCGAGCTTTGCTCGATCAAGGTTCCGAGATGAGCTTCATCACAGAACAACTCGCGCAGTGTCTCAGGCTGAAACGCGTTCGAATGCCGACCTCGGTTTCGGCTGTCGGCGGTGTACACGCCGGAACATATCAACACGCGGCTCAAATAAATATTTCGCCGAGAAACAAACAGACTCCGGCATTCTCTACTCACGCGTTAATTTTGAAATCGTTAACGTCATACGCGCCAAAGCGTATGACAACGGAGCATACTTTAGCTCACCTAGCAGATCTCCCATGGGCTGACCACGACCCCATGAGCGCAGATCCCATCAATATAATAGTCGGTGCAGATCTTTACGGCGTCCTTATAGTTGACGGACTTCGCAAGGGAGCGGTCGGACAGCCGATCGCTCAAAACTCAGTGCTAGGATGGGTGATCTCAGGGCCCATCCCACCTTCAAAGGTGGAGTCGCATATTACGTCGGTCGCATCATCGGAACAACCGCCCCTCCGGGTGAGCGCACATCACTGCCTTAATCTGTCCCTCGATCAAGAGCTTAGAAAATTCTGGGAGGTCGAGGAACTTCCGCATAAGACACATCTTAACCCGGAAGACGAGCAATGTGAGGAGCATTTTCGCCGCACCCACTCACGTTGTCCCGATGGCAGATACATGGTCCGTCTTCCGTTTAGGGCCGGTCCCCCTATCGAAATAGGGCGTTCTCGAGGTGTCGCCGAGCACCATCTCAAAGGCTTAGCTCGAAGATTAGATGCTCATCCGGAGCAGAAACGGGAGTATTCCGAATTTTTACGCGATTACGAAACCCTCGGGCATATGATCGAGGTGCCCGCTTCAGATGACGCGGACGAGCAACGCGTTTACATTCCGCATCACGCGGTCATGCGCGAAAGTAGTGCCACGAGTCATCTGCGCGTCGTCTTCAACGCGTCTTGCGCAACGTCAAACGGGTCCTCGTTAAACGACCATCTCCTGGTCGGACCCAAACTTCAACCTGATCTATCGGTTATCATCCTGCGATGGCGACTATTCAAGTACGTGTACACGGCCGACATGACTAAAATGTATAGGCAAATTCGTGTCGACCCGCGTGATGTAACGTATCAACGCATTCTTTGGCGCGAACGTCCTACTGATCCGCTTCGCGAATACATCCTTCTCACCGTCACATATGGCACCGCGGCCGCTCCGTACTTAGCGCTTCGCGTACTCGATCAGTTGGTAAACGACGAAGGACAGGCATTTCCCTTAGCTGTTCTCATACTCCAGAAAGGGAAATATATCGACGAAACTCTCTTCGGCGCGCATCGCCTCGAGGACCTCCGTATCGCCCGCGATCAACTCATCGCCCTCCTACGGAAAGGTGGCTTTGAGTTAAGGAAATGGGCCAGTAATAATTCGGAGCTTTTGTCGGACATTGATCCCGCGAATCACGGACTCGCGTGCAACAAAATTTTGAAAACAGATGAAAGTTTGAAAATCCTCGGGGTCAGTTGGAACCCTGCGCTCGATATCTTTCAATTTCAAACGGCTACCGACGCCCCTGCTCCGCAAACAAAGCGATCGATTCTCTCCGCGATCGCGAAACTGTTTGACCCGCTCGGGTGGGTGACTCCCGTCACGATTACCGCAAAAATTTTGATGCAACGGTAGTGGCGTCTTAAGTTCGAGTGGGACGACACGCTCCCTCATGACATATTGCGCGAGTGGAAACCGATTTACAATCAATTATCCGCGCTCAACGAGCTCCACTTGCCGCGGTGGACCGGTCAAGAGTCGGACTCTGATCGTTGCGAACTGCACGGCTTCGCCGATGCGTCCAACGTCGCGTACGCTGCCGCTGTCTACCTGCGTGTAATTTCCAAATCTGGCCGTATAACCATATCTCTGCTTATGGGAAAATCGAAAGTCGCTCCGGTGAAAACGTTAAGCGTTCCCCGGTTGGAGCTTCTCGCTGCGTTGCTACTTGCGCGCGTAATGACTTTAGTTCGTGAATCGATCAGGATCGATTCCTCCGCGTGTTATTGCTGGATCGACGCAGAAGACCAGCTTGCGTGGTTACGTCAACACCCGTCGAGATGGAAGACTTTCGTCGCGAACCGCGTCGCGGAGATTCAGTCCCGTCTCCCCGATGTGACTTGGCGTCACGTGTCGACCGCCGAAAACCCAGCAGATTGTGCATCGCGCGGAATACTAGGGCACGAACTCGCAACTCACCCACTATGGTGGCAGGGACCACCATGGCTCAAGTTCCCCGCGACGCGATGGCCCGAGGGTCTTCCCTCCCCCCTGACGGAAACTTCCATTGAAGAAAAGATTGTCACCACGCACGCGGCGAGAGTCCCTACGCCGTGGGATCTTGCCTCACAATATTCGGATTGGGCCAAACTTATTCGAGTCACCGCGTATATCATTCGATTCGTCTCCTGTCGCGGGCACTCTAAAAAATTCCCCGCTCTTGAGCATCACGGACGCGCCTTATCGGCCTCCGAATGCCACCGCGCTCGCACATTCTGGCTCGGGGCTATCCAAGCCGAATTATTCCCTCACGAATTGCACGAGCTCACTCAGAACAAACCCGTCCATTCCAAGAGTCACATTCTCGCACTCAATCCCTTCGTAGATAGCGAAGGACTGATAAGAGTCGGAGGACGCCTGAGAAACGCTCCACTCTCGTATCACGCGAAGCATCCGATCGTACTCGCTTCTCACCCGTTAGTCACGCTAATCATTAGGCAGGCTCATCTGCGCGCCCTTCATGCGGGCCCGCATTTAACGCTTGCAACGTTGCGCCGCGAGTTCTGGATCTTAAATGCTCGCAGTTCCGTTCGATCTGTTCTCCATAAATGTGTGAACTGCACGCGCGAAAAGGCCGCCGTGCCGCAGCAGCTCATGGGAGATCTCCCATCCTTGCGCGTGTCGGCGCCTTCCCGTAGTTTTCTCCATTGTGGGGTCGACTACGCGGGGCCGGTGCTGGTTCGAGCCTCCGGGGGACGCGGCATTGTTTCGCGAAAAGCATATATCGCGCTCTTTGTGTGCCTCGCCACGCGCGCGGTCCACCTTGAATTGGTTGGAAATTATTCCACCCCCGCATTTTTAGACGCCTACTCTCGATTTTGCTCTCGTAGAGGATTGCCGGAGTCAATGCATTCCGATAACGGAACTACGTTTGTCGGAGCCGACAAGGAACTAGTCAAGGCATACCGAGCGGCAGTAAACGATCCCAATTTCTTAAATGCCATCGCCTCCGATAATGTACAATGGCACTTCCTCCCCCCGTCCGCACCGCATTTCGGCGGTCTCTGGGAGGCCGGCGTACGCAGCGTAAAGTACCATCTTCGCCGAGTTCTTAAGAATCACACGCTAACATTCGAAGAGCTTACGACTCTGCTATGCCGGATCGAAGCCTGCTTAAATTCGCGTCCTCTCGCACCGTTAAGTGATACGTTAGACGATTATGAAGTACTGACCCCCGGTCATTTCTTAATCGGGTCCGCGCTCACAGTCAATCCGGAACCCTCGTTATTAAACGTCAACGAGAATCGCTTGTCACGCTGGCAAATCATCCGTCACATCACCGAGCGGTTTTGGCGGCTGTGGCAGACGGAATACGTTAGCACCTTGCAGCAACGCGTCAAATGGCGAAGATTACAAGCGCCAGTGAAGATCGGGCAACTCGTCTTGTTACGAAATGCCACTTTACCTCCCTGTAAGTGGGAACTCGGTCGTGTAACACAGTGCCATGCGGGCGCTGACGGGCTGATTCGCGTGGTGACCGTGAAAACACCGACCTCCGAATATAAACGTCCGATCGTAAAATTATGCCTACTCCCGATCGACTGTGAGGCGCGCGCTGACTGACCTCTCCGGCATAAGCATTGTAAATGAACTTGTCACGGCGGGCGGTACGCTCGGTATCGCCACGTCTTGTTTTTTTTTTCAAAAAAAAAAAAAACCTCATGTAATTAGCTTGTCTTACTACTCTAAGTTGATCTAGTTATAAGATATATTCTATCTTCCCGTATCGACCTATCGACCGCCACGAGCACATCGCGGATTTCGAAACGTATTTCGAGGCGGGCGGTATGTTGAGGATAGAAACCGAATCCGTTGCGAGAGAGGAATTGTTGGGCGCCGTATCTTTGCCAGCGGCCCTGATCGCGAGGTGAGGCGAAAAGAAAGGGCCATTACCGAAATATCGCACACGGCCCTGCCATGGAGCGTCGCCCAATAATCCTTCGCTCCCGTTCAATTTGTGCGAACTCATGCGAGTCATGCGCACGCGTTTACGCGCTTTCGTGCAATAGATCGATCACGGATCGATATGATTCGTCCTCCCTGTAACGCACCCGGCTCCCCCGCTGAGCCACCCTCATGCCGGAACACGATCATCCGCCGGCAGGCAGAATAGAAATCGCTCTCGCGCCGTACAGTCTAAATCCGTTCGCCGCGATCCGCATCCTCGATCGATTGCCGCGCGAAACGGAGGTCATACGCTCCACCAGCCGTCTTCAACGGGGAAGTGGACGACCTCAGTGAGCGAGAACGCGCTTCTCCTCACCGACTCGGTGCACGAAAACTTAATTTCTGAGCGGGACTCGTCGCTCTCGGAGCCGTCCCCCAGCGTAACGTTGAAGCGTCGCACGTGATACGCCGCTTAGTGAGATCACGCATAGCTCACAATCTTTGTAAAGACCTACTGTGCTTATTTGTGCTGTAATTAAAGACGTTAGCAAAGAAACAGCGGTCTTGATTTGAAAACTCCTCGCCGATCAGCGATACGCTTCGCGCCCTTGTCAGGGCGGAATCCGGCAAACATTCGTGTCCCAAGGCTCCCTTGGCCGAGCACGAAACACATATCGTTATTATATTACTAATACATAAATATATATAGTTCTGGT